TGGCCACAATCCTGATCCCTGATCATACATACATACACATACACGTGCACATGCACATGCACGCACGCATACACATACACATAGGCATACACATACGCAAACGTAGGCCCTATACGGACATGCACTCACTCACAAACACAATCGCACACAAATACAAACACATACATGCACGCAAAGCTGGAAGTAACGGAGTACAATACTCCGGTACTTGTACTTACGTTACAATTTTCGGTATCTTTACTGTACTGCGGTGCATTTGAGAACCAGTACTTTTACTGTACTCCGATACTTTTTATAAAAGTACTTTTGAGTACTTTTGAAGCTTAATGAAAGAGTTAGAGCCGCATTTCTGATCACAATTTACGGAACAAACACCCAGGCGGGCACAGCCGATCAACCAAGAGTTAAAAGTTGAGATCAAAGAACGGCCCGTCGCGTTAAAGATCAGCCACTCTCGTGAATGTGATCACAAGCGTTGTAAAACTCCATGAAATGGTACAATGATCCCCAGGCGGGATCACACCGAGGTGTGAACTGACCGATGCGTTTCTTTTCCCCAAACATTGCACTCGCATCTGAGCTCCCCACCTGAACTTACTTCACTCGCTGGGTGGGTAGGGCCTCAAGTTTGCTCCAGGCAGGATCACATCGAACTGTGAACTCTTCCCTGTGCATTGAAGTTGAAGGCAGTTTTTCTCTATTCTCGAATTTGCGAGACAGCCTGAAGTTTAATTGGTGTGGTCATTGCGTAATGGTACGTAACGACAAAGGCTTTTTTTTGGACAGGAGGGGCACCTGGATAAACGTAGATAAAGATCTCGAGACGATAATATGCTAATGAGTGTACGGTATAATATTATGGGATGCTTCATGCCACCATGCTACTGTGATTGGTCATCAAGATTGACCACTCTTTGCTCGTCATATGCCATAAACCCACCCAGGGGTCACGTCAGTACATGGGTCACTGTAGATTCTTCCTTCGCTTCGTCGGCTGAGATCCCGTATTTCCCTTGCTCCCGAGCACTGGGATCTTAGGGGGAGACTACTGTAGTAGAGAATTTTTGGTTACACTACACTTACTAGACTCTAGGAAATTACATGTAGGCCTATTTTGGTTTGCCGTGGGCGCCGTGGACTACACAGTGCGACCAAAATCTGTCTTACCACTATTGTAATCAATTGCAACTGAAACTGAGTTTTCAATGTATATCAGTCCTTTTTTTAATTCTGGGGGGTTTGTGCTTAAAGCTACATTGATTCCTTGAGGATTTGTTAATGAAGAATTCGATGCACATTTCCATTTTAAAAAAATAAATGTTGCTGGCCATTTTCATCAATTTTATATTTTCTTAAGAGCAATTTTTCTCTACATTTTCCAATTTGAATACTTTTCCTACTTTCCCACCTCTAGGACTGACTAACATTTGATCATATTGTCTTGCTCAAACAAGTTCTGTTCATAATATCACTTACTCACTAGTTGCGTCTGTTTGTTTGCTGTTGTGTTGTTTTTTTCCAATTTCACGGACCATTTCCACCTACGTTCAGTGCGTATATTCAAATCCTTTTTTATACTGTTTACATTATTAGTAATAAATGGTCTAATTTGTTAAATATACTAGATATGTTATTCAATATGATGTTTTGCATTAGCACTGAAGTGTTTTAGCATATAAGCAGAAAGTACTCAAAATGTACTCTTAAGTACTTTTTTTAAAGTACTTGTATTCAAGTACATTTTACAGGAAAGTACTTTTACTGTACTTAAGTACATATTTTAGATAGTGCTTGCATTTGTACTGAAGTACCTTTTAAAAAGTACTTTAACAGCTCTGCATGCACGCACACAGGCATACGCACACACATACACACATGTTTACACACACAGGCTACAAATGCACACTCATAATTATGCCCCCCAAAAAATACACACACCGTCACACATACACATTTGACACACATACACAAATATGCACACACACACACACACACACACATACACACACACACATACACACACACACATACACATACACATACACACACACGCACACGCACTCACACACACACATAAAAGACAAAAACATAATATTATGTTATGTAAATTTAACAGATAGATCTGTCAAATATGCCTAGCCATTTCATGACAGAACTTTGTTACGACAGTCATTTTAAAATACCATGCATACTCAAATTCTATCCGCATTTTGGTTTTGGAATACAAAGCATTTCAAAGCCACATTGTAAAAGGAATGTGTTCTTAGTCAACCAAACAGTTTACTGGAAATTACACAACCCTGGTCGACTTCATTTTTTAAAAACAAAATTTGACGAGCGCTTGATTTCACCACGATGCCACACATTTTTGTCTCGACCTGGTGGAATCAGGCGCTCGTCAACTTTTGGCATATGGGGTTGGTGATATGATCTTAAAGCTTTTTCTTTTTTCTTGCTTTTAATGAAAAACCAAAAAAACCAAAAAAACCTATATATATTTCGAATAGAAGTCGTGATATTTGCAATTGAAAGGGGGCGGGGGTCGCCTGTTGTTGGAGGTAAATTAACGAAAAAATGGCAGACAAAATTTCGTGACTTTCAAAACTGCAGCGTACCCTAAAATGGCAACTTTCCCATCTTTGTGCTTTTGATCAAAGTTTTTTTTTTTCAAATAAAATCCATATGTTCCGCACAATTTAGATTACACCACGGGTTTTAATGATCGTATAATTGTATTATTCTTGTGAGCTTTTCAGTTTCATATCTTGATTTCAATTTTCAGATTTTTACACCTTTGAATTTTCCTTAAAAGTAAAAGAATAAAGATGGAAGTGAATAAAAAGAAAATTATTTTACAAATATAAAATAAATTAAATGTAGTTTGTGAACTTTGAGTTTGATACCTGGCATTGTATCATTCTTGTGGGCTCTTCAGTTTCATAAGTTAATTTTACTTTTAATTTTGATTTTCATATTTTTACACTTTTGAAAATACATTGTATATATATGAATGTTCTTGATGTGAGTAGACAACACACTCTACGGAACATTACAGCAACTGCATCAGACCTGCACTTATCACTACATGGCATTGGACAGAAGGGCGAAAGCCCAGCTGTTGCTTGATCGATAACAACAACAACAACTTGATGTGTGTAAAAGATGGAAGTGAATTTTTGAAAGAATTACCGGTATTTTAAAAAATGTGAAATAAATCAAATGTACATGTACTTTGTGAACTTTGAGTTTGATACCTGGCTTTGTTCCATTACTGTGACTTGTTCAGTTTCCAAAGTTAATTTTAATTTTAATTTTCATATTTTTGCGCTTTAAAAAATATAGATCTATGTGAATGTTCCTTGAAGGGAGTAAAAAACTATAGATGGAAGTGAATTTTAAAAAAATTATTTCAAAAATATAAAATATTAGATCTAACGCAATCTTCAGATTGCCGTATAATTATACGATCGTTAAAACGCGAAGCACAATATTACGATTGCGCTGATCGGTAAATTGCGGGGAACACAATATGAAAGAGCATGTTTTAAGTGAACGTAAAAGGCAAATTGTAATGCATCGTGGTGAAATCGGGCGCACGTCAAAATAATGAAATCGAAAAAAACCCGGCAATTTACCACTGGTTTGGCAATATTGATCGAGTTTTTGTTTTTTGGCCCAACACCTTTTTTTTGTACATTTAAAAACACTTTTTTATGTGGCTTTTTAAACTGAAAACGTTGATTAAAGACACCAAAAGAAACTTTTCAGTTGCCGTGGAACTTATAGAAGAATCACAGAAGTCAATGTACAGAAAAGTGGGAAGACATGGAATAACATCAAGAGGCTAGCCCAGGATAGAGAAAGGTGGGAGGTGTTTGTCCGTGGCCTATACCCTGGTGCAAGGGTGAGAAAGGCAATGATGATGATGATGATGATGATGATGATGATGGTCGGTGATGATGATGATGATGATGATGATGATGATGATGATGATGAT